GTGGTTGACTCAATCAACAAGACCATTCCCTAATAAGACTCTTTTCCTAGACGATGTCTGTCTCTTTGCCCCTCACAGCATCCTTTGCTGCTATTCCTCTGAATCGGTTGTTTCAGGCGGTGGTAGGAAATGGCATGAGACGCTAGGTTGAATTTTGGGTATTTGTCAAACTACACTATGCAGTTCGCACCTTAGGCGCACACCGCGTTCTGAGCCACGTGTCAATTGTATGTGTGGGACACTATTATATTTTATATTTCTTTTTGTTTGTGTTTTTTAATTATTTTAAATCTCGTATTCTTTTCGCACTTGCTCTGAGAAAACTTCCCACCACGCCATTTTGCTTCCGGGGGCAAATTCAACTTTACTCAGTGCTTTGCGTGAACCGCCGATATGCCGCCGTCTGGTGATGGGTTCTCCGAAGCTGACGGCTGCTGCTCATGCTGTTCCAGTGAGAGTAATTGTTTACGCTATAACGACAGTGGCTCCAGCGATGTGTGTTCGCGTTCTAGAAGATCCGATCTTTCTCCGTCGTCATTGAGCTCTTCGTCCTTGTTAAGTTTCGATTCGATTCCCTTGAAGGATTGGGATAAGCTGCGGAGAATTATTCTTGCTTCGGCCAAGGGCTTCACGATAGGAGCTGGTCTTAAGGGTGGTCTTGCTCTGTTCTCCATCTTAGGTCGATTGCGACGAAGAGGGACACTAAACTCCCCGAGGTAAAATGTCATCGCATTCGAGATATACACCTGAATAATAGTTTCTATTATTCGGTTACCTACTATGTTCGCCTTTCTCTCACTTGATGTCCGAAACAACGGGTGTTATGTTTCTCCATTTTTGGTACAGGAAGGAGGCGGCGGTAGCAAACAGAGAAGCAATCGTTCTGGCTTTACAGGAAACACTGAGATACGGCTTTTTTCTTGGAAGCTTTGCAGGAACATTGCGCGTCTGTGGATGAGATTATAGTTGCTCTGGGAGGTCACCGTAGGCATGTTCTGTTCATTCTGTGTGATCAATCTTTGTCCAATTATCGATATTTAAACTTAAAAGTTTTGTTTTGAAATTGTGTATTTCTTATTCGTACTTTTTCCCATCACTCTAGTTCAGGACAGCAAGATGGAGGGCTCTATTGGCAGGGGCGATTGCTGGCCCATCCATGCTTCTGACTGGCTTAGAGTCGCAACATACAAGCTTGGCTATTTACATACTTATGCGTGCTGCTGTCTTGGCATCACGATGTGGGATTAAGAGCGAACGGTTTGGGGGAGTATGTAAACCTCTCACATGGAAGCACGGTGACATATTTCTTATGTGTCTCTCCTCTTCACAGATATTGTACGTTGTCGTCCTAAACATGGTTATGCGTACTTAATGAATCAACCTTTTCCATTGTGTCCTCCTTTAATAAATGTTCCTGTCTTTTTGAATTTGTGGCAATGCCCTGTAGTTTTTAGGTAGTGTATATATTTCACTTCCCTCCTCCCTCTTTTTTTTTTTTCTATTTATATTGATTAATGTATGTTCGGTTAAGGGCAGTGGTTAACATGTTGTTTTAGGTCTTCTTACATATTAAAGCAAGAGAGTTTGCCTTCTTCATATAAGTCCTTTCTCAATAAGCATGGTGGAAAAGGTCCTGTTATCCTACAAGGGTGAAAGAGTTAGCAAGTAGCAGGGCTGCCTTTTACTAATTTGGAAGCAATAGAGAAACACTACAGGGCAATGGGTGTTGAGATGCAACTTGATCCAGATATGAAAATCCCCTGCTCGGTATGAAAAAGTTTTATGATTTTTGTCCTCCTTCTTTCATTATGTTTCAGTGTGGTAATATTTCCTATTGAAATATATAAAGTAAAAGAAATACAGCTGTCGTTCTATTACAGTTATAAATCTTGGAAGTTGGATATGCATTTTTTTTTAAGACTTTTGATATGTAGATGTCAATCAGTGTCACAATGTCAACGTTTCTCCTTGTCCTGCAAATCTAGTTAATCCTTGATGTCATAACTTTGGCATCAACTCTTATTCTTGATTCGATCCATTTGAAATTTCACTCTTGTGATAATTGCTGATTCATTTGTTTAATCTGAGAATTCATGTATGATGCATTTCGTAATGGTGTCTATAAGTTCGTATACTCGTGGACTCTATTTGGTAAAGTTGTATGCATTTTTGTCTTTTGTTTTATTTTCTCTTTATTTCCTTTTTATGTTCAAAATTAATGGTCTACAATTTGTCGTGCAGTTTTCTTTTGATACTTTTTAGTACGGCTTTGAGACTCGGGAATGATTTTTGTTGAACAACAATCATATGCTCAACAATTTCTGTTTAAATCAATTAAGTTGGATTTATACATCATGTAACTGCTTACATCATGGTGAAAAACAGGTGATTTATATCAACTTGATAAGTTGTCATTTTCAAACATCTTGCAGATTGTTCATGGGAATCAGTCGTGTGGTGAGCATGTTCTTCTTTTCTCCTTCAAGCCTACAAAAGAGCATTACCAGTTTATCTGCCAGTTTATCTGATCCCTGCACTATTAGTTCACAGACAAGGACTTTTAAAAAGGTGATATAATTAGTATACATACTTAGTAAGCAATCTAATATTGACGTTTTCTTTTGTGAAGATTTCATGAAACATATTTTCCTTTCTATCTGATAGTACCTTCTGTGAGGGGCAAGTACAATGTTGATGGCACATTGGCTCTGATTATAATGAAGAGGCTCCGATGGAAAACAGATTTTCCCATTTGATATTTGTCCAAGCACTCTCAAAATTACTATTTTCTTATTTTTCCACTCAAAATTTTTCATTCATCTCATGCATTAGCGTGGACTAAAAAGCATGTTCAGGCCTTCCCGTACTTTGTTTGCATTGAAAATAACAAAAGGAGTGGATTAATGATTTATTCCCCGAACAATTACTTTCATCTCAAATTTGCCCTTGAAAAATATAATATCTTCATTATTTTTCCCAATTGAATACTCCTCCTTTCTTTTCCCCAAAGAAAGATCCCTTGGCTTATGCTTCAAGCTGAGCTTAATTATGACATATACGCAATATTTGAGACTATATTCTTTTTGGTTAATTATTGCTTATTGTCAACATATTTATATGCAGCCCTAACACAATATTAGCCAAAGGTCTGTTTGGCACTGCAAGATCAAGTTTGTTCCTGTCTATGTATTGCTCTACTGCCTGGTTAGCATCTAATTATCTATCACCCTCTCTCCTGTTGTGTTATCTCAGATGTATCATACAGTTCTAAAACAGTATGTTTCTGATATGTCAAATGTGAATCAATATGCTAGAACATTTTAACTTCTGCAAGTTCGCATGAAATGTTTAATAATGGAAGAAATAATCGATGTTGTATTGTACTCTTTCACATCTTTGGTATACACAAGGGTGAAGCAGACTCATACGTAGTTAGAATTTCTTGTACCTCTCACTTTAGATTTGATCCACAAGATGTCGTATTGATTGCTAGACCTCGGTTTCATGTATAAGACTGTAAGATGCAACGAAAGTAGTACATTAAGGAAATTACATCGGATGATTTCATGTACTTGCTTTTTGATAGCTCTGTCCCCCCAACCCCCGCCCCGGGGGGGGGGGGGGAACTTATTCTCCTTCCTCATTGTTGCTTCTCTCTGGCATGGATTTTGTTGAAATTCTCACATGCATGAGACCGATGCTGCTGCCACTGTATGTCAGGATGTGGACGTGCTTGCTCTTCAGGATATTCAAAAGGTGCAACATTCCAATGGTGGTCATCGGAACGGTATTCAAGTTGAAATCCCTTTTTCTTTCAAAACTCGAAAGAATTCGGAACTATAGGAATTGCAGTTTTTCCCAAATATAAAGAGGTTGCGGTTGCGTTCTTGTGCAGTTCCCAGCTGGGCTTGCATTAGCCATTGAGAAGAAAAGCAGGCGAATAGAGATAGCGTTGTACTGCCTAGCACGGGCCATCGAGAGCTTCTTCTCATGCATGGCTGATGCAGGATACGTGCCGCATTCGAGAAAGATTAAGAGAGCTGACGTAGTGGTGTTCAGCTTGTCAACAGCCATCATAATGCACTGCTACGCACAGGAGAGGGAAGTGTTTAGGTCCAAATATTTAAACGTCCTTGATTGGGTGTTTGGTGTGCCTCCTCCTCCAGGGGAAAGCCCCCGCTGCTCAGACAACGGAAAAGCCAGCGGCAGCCCATTGGGGTATCCTGAATTCGAAAGCACCCTGGAAAGCCAACACTAACACAATTGACGTTACCTTCTCCATTTTTCCCCTTTGGATTCTTTCTTTTTGGGGGCTCGGCGCTGATCGCGCTGATCGCGATTCATGAATGAATAATAAAAGGATGCTTTTATGTAGCGTTGTGATGTCGCTTAAGGATTTAGTGCTGTGACACAGAGCCTTCGAGAAATTTGTATGATTGATTTCGTGGAGGACCGTGTCAACCAACCTCAACTATTACTCATTACTCCCTTCCCGGGGCTCCTGATGGGGAGCGCATCTGTAATTTAACGTATTTTTCTTGTGATTACATCGGAAATTCAACATTTCTTGTCGCTTCCATTCTATTTGATTTGCGTTGCCTTTGCAAGTATACTAGAATAAACCGGAGTTAATATTATTATTAGTTTTTGTAATTTGATTAAATTTTAGTTTAATTCTGTAGCTTTGAATTGTTGGCTCTGATCAATATATAGTTTTATAAAATTTTAGTTTGAGTTTAACAAATAGTTTTTTATTTTTAATGAATTTTGATTTCGATCTTTATATTTAAATTCCGATCAAGTCAAAACTAATGATTTAAATTAGAGGTTAAAATTAAAATTTGATCAAACTGGAAGAATCGGTAATAATATTAACTTAATAAATTATGTGCTTATTGGATGTAGAAATCCAACATGACAATCATATGAACGAAAATAAATTATTTTTTATCCTTTAATTTAATTCAATTAAGCAAAAAATAACGGAAGGGCGAGATTTGGGGGAAAAAATGATCCAAACAGGTTAATTACCCATTGCCAGAACATGCAGCTTACACATTTACTATCACTTACCAATAAACATTCAACTTTACTTGGCCCATAAAGAAAGAAAGAAAGAATCATTCCAGTACAGGGCAAACAGACAATGTAATGTTCCGGTCATCAAGATTAAAGATACATATGCCTCGCAACGGGACGCAAGCATCGTATGCACTCTGGCATTGACTTTGGCTGGAGGGATAAATTGGAAGGAAACGCTATTTACTCATTTACTAACCATTACTAATGATAAGATTTAAAGGGAAGAAAAAGGAATGTAACCATGATTTTTCCGCTATATTTTCTACTCTGTAAGAAAATAAATAGAGCATTCTTCCGCAGCTGCAGACAGAATTAATATAATTTCTTTCGAATTGAACTGATCAACACAATGTAAGAAAAAGGGGCAACAAAACTGACTACTCGGATACATACTCCCACCATTTGTGCAAAGCATATCCGTAAATTGCACCGTAACCAATCAGCCGCAGGGGAGAACTGGTAAACCTGCACATATAGAAGGAGCTTGATGGAGCATCCTTTGGAAAGGAATAAAAGCGAGACGCAGAGAGGAGAGAGCGAAATAAAAAGAGAAGGTACCTGACGAAAGCAGATCCGTGAGAAAGAAGAGAAGCCCTCTCGTCGGCAGTAATAGGGTAGGGCCAGCGGGAGAAATCGCGATCGAAGTAATCCCAGTCAGGCAAGAGAAGGGCGGCAATGCCCACGGCTCCAACAACATAAGTAACGATCATCTTCTTTGGAGAGTGAGTGAATATGCCAACCAGCAGTATAACCGCCGCCAGCCAAAGAAGAGAGGTTCTGAGGGCGGCGTCGTTTGCCATGATGAGAAGATGGATTAGGAGGAGGAGGGATGGAGAAAGCCTAGGGTGAGGTGAGAGGTGAAGAAGAGGACAGCCATGGGGAGAGTACTGTGAATTGGTTACGAGCATGAGCTATAAATGCAGTTTCAACGGTCCGTCTAATTTCTTTGTTATTGTGATTAATGCCGTTTGCTGCCGCCATCCACACTCTTCTGCATTGTTAGTTATTTATTACACTAACTCACCAATCCCCCACGCCTGAGCTGGTGCTTAACTGCCTCCTGCTTCTGTGGGTCCACCTCTGGTCGGGTCGGACCCTTGACAAAGTCTTGCGACTGAAGGCCTAGTCGTTTCATCCAGATCAACCTGCAGGCTCCAGCTCCGCTCCCCCTCCGCTCCCTCGTCGGCCTTTCTTTGCTGAGTTCAACCGTTTAAATGTTACTACTGGGCTGGGTCTGAGCTTAACAGGAGTTAAACAAAAATTAGATTTCATCTTAAACTTGAGATTCTAATTTATTTTACCTCTCAAATTTATGATTCATTCTTTAAAGTATCCCATTGATTACGCATATCAAAGGAGTTTCTATCTAATGGTACTTTATGAAACTTGGTTTATATTTATTATAAATAACTAAATTAACTAATTTTTTTAATCTATTCAAATTAGTTAAATAGTTTTTATATTAAGAATAAAAAGTACTCCTCCGGTCCTAATTATAAGACCCAATTGACTTATTTGAGGAGATTAAGGAAGTAAGTTAAGTTGGTTATTTATAATAAATAAGTGTTGTTATTCCTAAAATATCCTTGCTAATTAAGTATATTGGCTAAAACTATCATTATTAGAAGGATTTTTCTTGGAAAAAAATGCATAAATATAAGAGACAAAATGGATTGGGTCTTATAATTAGGACCAAATAAAAAGTCAAATTAGGTCTTATAATAAAGACCGGAGGAGTAGTATATTTTAAACTCATAGGTAAACCCTCACCACCTGCACGTGCATTGTGTATAGTAGCTGTTGGCCAAAAGATCATCTTGAAATATCACTCGCGTTTTGCTACCCCTCTGTGGTCAATATTTGCTGATGATTTCTGGGCCTGTGGGTTCTGGGCCACCTCAAGGTGGGAGAGTTGAAGTTGGACCATATTTCAAATATGTGGAGTGGAAGGAGAACATTGCCTTGTATATGAACAGGTTCAGGCTATTTTACAGGGACTTGCGTGGTCGTTCATGGATATCACCCCATCAATCATAATAGGCCCGTTTGGGTTTTTAATAGAAACCGTATACATGAATATATCAAGATAAAGGTCCAACTAGTTATCTTTATAGGCCCTATTTTGAAAAGCGCGTCATCATCTCACAAAGATCTGTGTCTGTTTTTGAAATTTGATCGAGTCCTCCCATTCTTTTTTTCCTAACTGAAAAAATGCAGAGAATTGTATAAGGCAACATTTTATGCAATTTTGGGATTATCCAATAAATATAAGAGAGTTGGGTAGAAGTCAATATTGGTAAGACCTATTAGGGTAAAAGAGGATGGAAAAGTAGAGTGGACAGAGTTGTGTGTGTTGGTCAAGATTAGGTTATCAACGAAAGCGTTGAACAAGTAATGAATCGTATGTAAATGAAGGAACTCCTGCAGCAGCAAACGCAAGCTCATCTCAGCATTTCATTAAGGGTCTGTTTGGTATGAGAGAAAATGAGAAGAGGGGGGATTTAATAAACTCGATTTAAAAAATTAAAAAAGTTTTTAATTAATTTTTATTATTCTTTCGTATTACTTCCTCTTTTTATTAAAATTTCAAAACCGTCCCCTCCCCTCCCCTCCCCTTTGTTCTATTTCCATTATACCAAACAGTACCTAATAATCACAAGTTTAGAAGGCTGCCTCCGGAAAACTACGATATCGATCGTTGTTTTATTACAGCCACGCATGCACACACATATGTGAACACACACACACATATATAACATATATATATATATAATATCAGCTGTGCAGTGTATATATAAGTTCATCACGTTTGTCTGTCTCCCAACAATATGCAACACCTGCTCCCCTCCTTTATCTCTGCAACCTCTATTTTTTAACAGATGATATTTATCTTGCAGGATACGTCTCCTTTAATTAATTTTTTTCTCAAGAAAAATCTAGTTTGAACGCCGCCTAGAATTCTTCTGGTATATCAGGCAAATTTATCCATACTTGGATAAAATGTTTTTCTTGTGATGGGATTCGTATATAATGGAAACAAAGATCTCCCCGGCTCATATCTAATGATTTATAATTCCAGATGTTTGTGATAATTGAATCATGAAAAATCTTTAAAGCTCTCTCTGCCATAATTCCAATTTCAATTCCCTTAACTGGAATTGATTCGGAAATTTACAAATTACGTTTCAGTCATGCAGTGAATTATAATGTGAAAGCAAGTATTAGAGAATAATTCGTATGAGTATAGTTGCTGTGACATAATAATAATAATAATGTCAGTAGTAGTAGTAATTAATAATGGCCATAAGCATCAAACTAAAGGAATATACACAAATTAATATAAACTTCTACATCTATCTAATAATTAATCATTAAAAAAGACAATATGTGATCCACCAAAAAGAGACAATACCGTTAATTATGGTTATAAGCTTCAAATAAGAAGAATTTTTTTTGCCTTTCTTCTATATATATTGTATGGTTTTCGTTTCTGTCCCGTATTTTTGTATTTTTCGTGATTTTTTTTAATGTTTAAGAGTTACTAGTTTCTAGCCTTTTCTCTGAAAAATGGCATTGCATTACTACTGCATCATTCAAAAGACATCTAGCAGTACTTATTATTGCCTTACTGGTTCACTCTGATGAGCTTCGGTTTATTACGTGTATATATCGAGATATATATATATATATATATCCTTTATTTTCATTAAAAGAAAATGATTTTCATGTATATATAGCTTATATGGGCCGTTTATTTCTCTTTTATTAAAATTTAGGGGATCCAATTCTAATTCAGGCTACAAATATCCACCATAGCGCATTTGTAAGCCACCCTGAAGTCCTCCGTTCTTTTTTAATGTATTTGTTGGAAACCCATTTGAGCAAGCAAATCAGTTGTTTAGCTTACACTGAAATCAAAGATAAATAATACTCCTCCGGTCCTTAATATAAGACCCATTTAGCTAATTTGATTAGATTAAGGAGTTGGGTAAATTAGTTTATTATAAGAAATGTAACACGTTTTTTCTAAAATACCATAATTATCTTTCTTAATACCTCCTCAGCTCCCTCTTCTACTTGATTATGGTTGAAAGAGTATCCATAGGAGTAATTTAGAAAAAATTGATAAATATAAAAAGTGTGTCTTATATTTAGGACCAAAACCAACTCAACAATTGGGTCCTATATTAAGGACCGGAGGAGTATTATATTGAAACTACAAAGTTGTTCTTACATCACTGCCTCCTTTTAGCGGTACACATGGAGTCAAGGACATGGTCCCCGACAAGGCCTTTGCCAAATCAAAGGACCAAATTAAACTACATATTGTGTATATGAACAGTTAACTAACAAATTATATGTAATTCTAAGAATGACGATAGAGGCAACAAAAGATTTACTACATATGAACAAGCAACAAGAAAGATTTGACGCAGTTGCAAAATGATCTCTCTAATTAACTTATTTCCCCTGTTCAACATGTAAGCCTGATCCAAACGATTAAACAATCAAATCAAACTTTAGGTTTGAAAATGCGTAGCTTATCCGTGAAGCAAGATAGGATGGGTTCCAAATGTAAACATAAATATGTTTCCGCTAGCTAGTTTAATTGAAACTTGGCTATTGTCATTAATTGAATAAATTAACTCGGGTCTCACTTGATCTTTTGCTAGCGAGAATATCCAACAATTTATAAAACACTTGGCTTGTAACAAGCAACAACCTTTTTGGTTTAATTTTATATATGCTGCTTTTGAATTTGATTTAAAAAGAAAGAGGATCCATATTCCATACCATGGCAGAGAAGACATGGAAGAGAACAAGGAACTTGAGGACAAGACACCAACAAATGCCATTGAAAAGGTTCAATGTTTTCTCAACCGTGCATGCGAAGAATGTCTTAAAGGTCATAACGAAAAAGAAAATATTGTATGTGAGCGTTTGCTGCACCAAATTCTCCTTCACGTCTCCAACTGCACCACCCTCCGAGTCAAAAACTGTCACATCCCTCTGTGTCTTTTTCAGAGACAATGTGAAATCAACCAATATCGATCTACTATGCAGTAGCTACTACCTCGGCTTTCCTCTGACTTTTTAACCTCCACCCTTCTCTCTCTGCACTTTATTCATCTACAACGACTTCCCTTAGATCTTTTAGTTTACCTGTTTGGATATTCAGTTATATATTTACTCCTCGAGTAACCAGCACATGCGGATACAAACAATACGCACGCATGTATATATATCACATCCCCCTATATATGTATCTTCGTCTGTATATATACATATATAGGTAGGCTGATAGATTAGTGGAGCAATTCAAACAAAAAAAATAGCTAGGTATATGACTGGCAAGGAATATTTGTTTGTACATTAATTAAATGCACTGGCATAATCAAATACTTAAAATATATATTATTGTGAATTGAGTATTTAATTTTAAAATTAAAGTGAATGTCTGAATTACGTGCATTAATTTATTTTTTGTAAGATGCTTCGTGTGAATGCATGTTGACCTACGATACCCTTGTATACGAATAATTTCGTGGTATTCTCCTAAATATGAATAATTGCCAAAATATGTAATAAGGTCGCAGGAAATCCAAGAAGAGAGGACGTAATGAGTCATTCGAGGCCATGCAAATTATGACGAATGGGACAAAACAGCCTCGTTGCGTGCATGGAAGAAGTTCTGCCGACAAGCGCTCATTCGCCACGTGTTACGTAATCTGATGTGAAAGCTTCGTCCTGTTACTGATACTTTATTGCTAGATTAATAAAAAATTGATCTTGCAATTACCAATTTGTCCAGTTTATTTTGCATGGCTAGATCATCACATGATTCGCATCAGAAATCACGAAAATTGAACGATCAGACTGCTGGCGAGTCTATCGTGCTTTATATATGCAAATCATTTTGGTACCATTTTTTATGCTAGCATTAGGTGCGTTTTCAACTATTAACTTGGATCTTTTTTTTTTTTTTTATCGTGGTAATCATATATGTGTATTAATGTAGGAAACAAAAAATTGGCATTATAGTGGAAAGAGTCGTTAGTTGAGTCGGGTTTTTCGTTTGTATGTTTAGTGAACGGGGGATTACATATGTGATCTAAATTAAAGTTTGTGTTGTCCAAAAAAAAAAGTGCATATTTCTCAAAATATTTGTGATTTCATTTATTCTATCAAAGAAATTGTATGAATGCTTCCATGGGTATACTTGTCAATTGCTGTGGAGGCGTGAAACTGCGCAGTACTTTATTAATCATATGGAACTTTCCTAATATCTTTAATAAATAAAATAACTTTGAAAGGCAGGTCATTGACGTACGGCAAGAAGCAAGCAGGAAGGTAATTGGATATAAATAGTTCGCCCCAGCCCCTTGTTTAATTTGGTGGTAAATAGTTAGAGAGAGATAATCTAGCTATATACAGAATGGGAAGATCCCCTTGCTGCGATGAGAATGGCCTCAAGAAAGGACCATGGACTCCGGAGGAAGATGAGAAGCTTGTTCAGTACATTCAGAAACATGGCCATGGAAGTTGGAGAGCTCTTCCCAAGCTAGCAGGTCTGTCTCACTTAGTTATATGTGTGTGTGTGTGTGTGTGTACGTATTGATCCAAATTAAACTAAATCTCTCTGCATCTCTCTTTTTAGCGCTCCCTCATTTCCTCCTCTGAACAAAAATTTGCAGGTCTGAATAGATGTGGAAAAAGCTGTAGGCTAAGGTGGACCAATTATTTACGGCCTGACATCAAGAGAGGCAATTTTTCTGAAGAAGAAGAGCAAACCATACTGCATCTCCATTCCATCCTTGGAAACAAGTACTTCCAAGTTTTCCCTTCCTTCTTATTTTACCTTTAATTTGATCTACATTATGACCCAAGACTTTCCTTTTATCTGTTCGTGCATTCCAATGTTGCTTCAGTATCTATCTGTGAATTTTATTTTATGCTCAAATTTGAATTGTTATGACATATATATGCTCTTATATACGTTTGCTTCCTCTGATATAGATGGTCGGCAATTGCATCCCATCTTCCGGGCAGGACTGATAACGAGATCAAGAATTTCTGGAACACACATCTAAAGAAGAAGTTAATTCAGATGGGTTTTGATCCAATGACCCACCAGCCACGAACAGATCTTGTTTCCACCTTGCCGTATCTGCTAGCTCTGGTCAACATGACAGACATTATGGATCACCACCACCTTCCTGCTTGGGATGATCAGGCTGTGAAACTTCAAGCAGAGGCAGTTCAGTTGGCAAAGCTTCAATATTTAAACTCCTTACTCCAACCCACGACTTCCTTGAACACCACCAACTCCTGCGACCAAAATGGCTTCACCACAAGCATGGATACTATCAATTTGTTAAATTCAATGGCTGATTTGAAAGAGAACCCAGGTATGAACTACCCACAGTTGAATAATCCAGGCTCATTAGCTTCTCAACCACTCCACCATCACCCCACCATGTTATCTCACATGCCAGACCCACCACAAGTCCCTTCCGCTCCCAATCATGTTTGAATAGTGATCAGGGTCAAGGTACAAACTTTACAATGATTAGTCAAGGGGATCATACGACACCTGATTTTGAATCTTCATCAATATTGCCATCTATGCCCCCTCTGGTTGGAGATGCCACCAGCAGCTCTTCTAGCTATGGAGGAATTTCCTCGTCTTATTGGTCTGAACTATTTTTCGAGGACCCTATTACGCATGAGCTATCTTAGTATTTCGTTTCTGGATCTGAGATATGCATTATGCTGTGTGTTAACTAGTACGTACGTACGTATGCCTTCATTGTTTGCTTATCGCAATACTTGCATATATAGACTTTAAAGTCTCTCTCTTTAGTACATACATATATATATATCATCTATATATATGTGAGCATACTAATGCATGTATATGTGAGCATATTAATGCATGTTTTTGTACATACAGCTTTCGGACAATTCATCGAGTTAGTTTAAAAGTCATTATCATTTTAATAGTGCGTCTTCCAGTTGAAATTGGCTTTCCCTGCTTCTTACTTTTTCTCCCGTCTTTGTTAATTTCATCGCGTAGCCTAGACTCCTGACATTTCATTGCAGATCATTTCTAGGATCGGGATAAAACTGCCTAGGATGAGCAGGGAATATAATTACATGAAGGTTAAAAATATTGCAGAGGGGATCTGTATAATGGTTAACAAACTATCCAGGAATAATAGTTTCACAAACAGAGAATTACAATTTAATAATGTAAAGAGCGAGGCATCCTTCACTTTCATTTAATTTTCTAGTCATTGTGAACTTTCAGCAAGCCGAAGTGGATTGAAGGCTGAATTTTCTCGTAAATGAAACCCCGGGGAGGGGGGGAAGCATATTGAAGAAGTCTATGATTTTAAAAAATAAAGGTCTCAAGCCTGAACTGAATATGCATGTGGTCTGAAACAACAAAAATAATCGAAATACAAAAAATCAGAATACATAGTCATATGCAATCAAAGGACCACGATGGTGTATTATACATAGGCCTTTTTGAGTTGAACCTGATCTTAATAATGTATATATTCCAAATCAAAATCTGTTTCATATGTATATGTGAAATACTTAAAAGTCATGAGAGTCATTGCTCATATAGAAATAATGGCTACTGGCTAGCTGGAATAAAAATAATTTATCCCAAAGTTAGAATATCTATGCAGTCTATAGATATTATATTTATATACTGGGATATCTAAGAGTTTGTGATCGCCCTATATATATGCTTAATTAATGTTTGGTTATTCAGAATCAGAATCCTACTACTGGAAGGAATTGTTTCTTGCAAAAAGCTTTCCCTCCTCTCGTTCCATATTTTGAGGAGGAGAGATTTATCTGCAATGCAACCCCATTAATGATTTAATTGAGCTATACTATTATCAAGAGCAGAAGAGTGAACCACACAAAGCCAAAT